GGCCTCTACTGCTGCCTGAGTTCATTGCTTAAAATAAATCTCTGTCCTCTAAATATATTGTTTTTATTTCTCTGGAGAACCTGAATCAAGATAGTAGAGAGGTGGGCATCAAATAAATAGGATAGGATAATATTTCTGAAATAGTTGTTGAGGTTCCATTTTCCTTTTGTTTCTCTTCTTTGCCCAGGATGGTAGAGACCCATTGCTTTAAGGCATATGTAACAGACAGGGATCTTTCTCACTTTATTTCCAGACATTTAAAAGCCTGTAGGGGACTGTAGAGGAATCAGTCAGAGCCAAAATATTTGGGAGATATGGGGTTAGAGCAAAACATGGACCCCCCTCCTTGCATTAGTCAATTTTTCATAGCTGAGAAGACATACTTCAGAGGGGAAAGGGTTTATTTCACCTTACCATATTGGACAGTCGCAGTTCAAGATTGGGTTTTCTCTTTAGTCTGGTAACTGATGAGGATGGTGTTGCATGTACAGAGGGAGGATCCCACAGTGAGCCAGGAAGGAGAGATGGGAGCACCTTCTTCTTTACCCTCGATGTGATCTGTTTTTATAAAGCCATTATAGTTTTATCATGGGCTCCATCTTTGCAACTTAACCCAATCTAGTCACTTTGCACAGGTTCTACATGCAGACACCATGATTGGATCAAGCCTCTACCCTAATCCATCAACTATTAATGGTATTTCACTAACCATTAACATGAGACCTTGGGATTTACCTTGGGTCTGTGGGAGACAGAGGTGGAAGGCTCATGAAAGGAACCAAGTTAGTGTTGGTCCTGAAGATCCAGTCGCGGAAAATCTGATGGTTATCAAGGGGAAACAAGATCCTAGTTAGAGAATGGTTGTGCAGCGATCTTTATCTAACAGCCAAGCAGAGCCTTCTGGTTCCCGGTTGAGACAGAAAGCCACAATGAGATTCCGTTCCACTTGTGAATTGGTAAAGAGACCAGGAGCTCATCTCAGCACCAAATACATGTTGTAGGGATCTACAGTTAAGAGGAGAAGGAACATATCAGAAAGTACTCTTGTGGACAGGTGACTCAACACTGTGGGAATTTCACCTGGTACCATTTAACTGTACCAGGATTAGACAAACATGAGAAAAGTAAGAAAATTCCAAGTTGAGTGAGATAAGTTTCCACCACTCCATTGAACAGGAACTCACAGGTTTAGAGAAACATGTGTGTTCGTTACCTGCATTGTGACAAGCAGCGTTGAAGAGTGGGCTGGCCATAAGGATGAAGTACAATAAATGAGGAAAGTAGCCCAAGGTGAGGATATGCAAAGATAGGCAGTGGCTGGGTCATGCAGGAATGTGTAGAACAGAGAATTTGTGTTCTGGATGGCATGGGAGATGATTCGGAGTGGTTCTTAGTGCAGATTAGAAGGGTAGTTGAGAGGTCATTACAGTTTCCTAGATGGGAATAAGCTGGTAGCTTGAACCACGCAAGTGGCAGAGTATAGGTTCTTGATTCATTTTAGTGTGAAAATGAACAGATTTTGCCAACGAGTAGAATGTGGGGAGTGAGAAGAAACAAGGGATTAATAAGAGCTCTCCAGTTTCTATTTGAGTAGTTGGTGGAAGACTGAAGCCACGGGCTGACTGGGAGAGAAAACAAATACATGTGAGAGAAATCATTTTTTTGACATATTTTTGGAGAGACAGTGGAAATTTCTGGAAGGTCATATAGTTCACTGGTACAGAGTACAGAGAAGAGGTCTGTGCTGGAGGCAGACACGGGGCTGTCCTCAGCACTAGCATCAACTGCTTTTCCTTTAGCTTGCTTTTGCTGCTTGTCTTGACCGTGCATCTGTGAAAGCCTCACTCAACCTTCAGGTTTTGGTTCAGATGTCACTTCCTCAGAGAGACCTCCCTGCCCTTTCCTCCAGTTTGACACACTATAAACCTTTCTCTGTTGAACTTTTTCCTTTAAAGCACTTACTGTGGTTTTCAATGAGAGGTTATGCTTGCATGTTCTTTCATGATGTACCTCAGTCAACACTGAGATGTGCTAGGGGAAATAAAGGACTCTTTCTGTAGTAAGTCATTTAGGCCTTACATTCTAAGAAGAGAAGGCAAGGAAGAAAGCTCAGGGTTCCTTGTAGATAAATGATAATGTTTGTGGATTAAATAGAGGGGGAAAAAGCTATCCAATGCAAGCAAGGCAGAGCTGGGAAGAAACCTGAGAGCCAGACAAGCAAGGAGATGAATTTCCAGACCGCGGCTGTTGTCACGGCTGTTGTCACTGTGTCAAATTCTGTCACGATGTCATTGTGGAAAGACTCAAGTGTTTGCTGGATTTACAGTATGGCAGACCTGGGACCTTTTGGAAGAGCAGTGCAGACAGAAATTACACTGTGGCAGTGAGGAAGGTAGGAATGGGCAGTAGGGGTAGGCATTTTGGTGTGGCTGTTAAAAGGCCACCCTTTCCACATCTCATATGGAATCCCTGGGGTCCAGTCCCAGCTCTGCTTCTGATTCCAGCTTCCTGTTAAATGTGTCCTCCTGGGGAAACAGCACCTGGTAGCTCAAGTACTTGAGTTCCTGCCATCCGCATGGGAGACCTGCATTTAGTCATGGAGTCCTGGCTTTGGTTTGACTCAGTGCTAGGTGTTATGAGCATTTGGGTAAATGAGATGATGATTAGGTTAGAAGGTCTTTCTGGTTGTCTTTCTCTCTCTACCTTTCAGATACAATGAAAATAAATAAATTTTACAGAGGAGCAGTCCTGGGCTCCCGAAACTGCAAGCACCTCAGAGAAAGTACCCATACATTTTCTTAGGAACACAATTATTCAATGTCCCTGGCTGAATGCAGAGTTGATGAATTTGAATCTTTCATTATCTATGCTTTTTTCTCTCAGACCCTCCTTTCTTCCCTTAACCCTGTTTTTCCTTCTCTCTTTTAGTTCGGTGCTTTCAAATTGTAATGTGCGAGAGAATCCCCAGGGAACTGTGTTAAAATGATCATCTGCAGCCAGTAGCTCTCAGCCGGGCCAGCGTTTCTAGCAAGTGACCCTGCTGGTGCTGTTGTGAAGATCACAGTAAGGATCTAGAGGACCGCATGAGGGTTACATGTACTCTGGGCCTGGGATCCAAAAATGCATGTTTGATCAAAAACAGCTGATTTTGACTCAGATCTGTTCATTGAATAAACCTGAGAAACACTAAATAGAAAAACACGAATTCAGGCTAACAGTTTCCCAGGAACACATGCACTGACATCTGCAAGTCAAGTCTGCAGACCAGAGAGAATGAAGTTGTTTGGAGGAAAGCTAGTTGCCAAGGTCCCTGTTTCTGGCCAGGGAACCCTACTCGGCACTTCCTCATGTGTTTGAGCCTCACTTTTAGAAGAACAGCTGCTACTCCCTGAGGAGCTGGCAGTTATATTTCCCAGCACTGTTGATGAACTTAACAGACTGTGAAGGTAAGGATACATGTCTGCTAGATGCACTGCTCTCTCCTTGGTGGGGCCATGATTGAGTCTTTTAGACATTGTAAGTGGTATCACATTAAATAGACAAACCTTCTGCTAATGCAGTGGGCAGGAATCTCATGCTATCTGGGTGTGTGGGAAACGTCACATAGATTTTATTTGGTGGGAAAATGGACCCAGTCATTGTTGAGGATCTTCTTACCTCGAGGTGGTGTGAAGGTCCCAGAGCCAAGGACCTTGATCTCACTCACACAAAGGACCTTCAGTACAGGAACTTGAATGAGAGTGGCTGCTCTGTACCTGCATCTTCTTAGAGGCCGGGGCGCCATGCTTAGGAATTAACATCCTAGTGCATTTGTAGCCTCCAGAGTGCCCCATTCAGCCATTCCCTGGTGGAAATACTGCTCCTTTTTCAGGGCCCTGAGGAGTCATGCAGGGGTCAATGCATCAGTTAGTGTATCTGGGCTTCAACCCCCCTTCCAGGCTCATGCCATCCCCCTCTTTATGTCTTGCTATTTTTTCCTTCTTTTCCTTTCATTTAGTTTAAAGCTGCCAAACTTCAGGCTTCTGAAAACCAAAGTCCCCAAAAGAAGTTGCAATATAAACTACTTTTGAAGGTTAAGAAGCAGGACTGTCATATTAATATAAAATGGACAGTTGTCCAAGGTTGTATTTAACTCCAGTGAATGAGGGAGCCAGCAGCACATTAACCCTGGTCACAAAACAAGTTAACATCCAACAGGGTAATAAACTGTAACTTTTGAGGTTATCTGTTCCAACAGAAATCATTTGCATCTATTCCCAGGAAAAGTCCCCAGGTTAAACTTCATCTCAACACAGCTATAAAGAGTTTCTTGAAAAAAAAAAAACAAAAAACAAAAAACCAACACTAGCACCACTTCAGCATCAGATAATGCCTGATGCTTCATCTCTTTTACCTGTTTCTAAGTGTCAGGTAATTTCCCCACTCCCCCAAAGAAGGAAGATTACAGAAAAGTCAATTCTAGTGTTCCCCATTATCCTGCTAAGGAAGTATCTTTCTTTGCCTTGAGAAAAGCCCCTCCTTCCTGCCAAGGAAGAGCAGGATAAGAACACAGAACCTCTTTCTGTTCCCAGGAGCAAAGATGCTTTGGAAGCCACTGAAAGATGACAAAAGCAGAGGACATGGGAAAACACTGCCTGATCTCATTAGTGTAAGGTGTTAACCCCTCTGATCCTTTGCCAAAAGCTGCACCTTGTTAGAGCTGGCTGACTATCCAATGCCTAGCAAGAAGCCATAGCTGAAGGGAAAAAAAACCAAAACGGTGGGTATTCGGGGAGCAGATCATGACTGTGACAGTGTATTGTTACATAGAGGAGCAAACCAGGGAGAACATGGCCTGCACTGCATTGCAGTGGCCCCAGCAACTTCATTAGGACTTGCTCCCTGCATTTAAGCCTCCAAGAAGAGACCCATTTCCTGTGAGCTGATAGCTTGCTTCCTGGGTGGCACTCTGCAATCTACAGCTGTGCTTGACCCCAGTTCTTCTGTTCCCTCTGTTTCAGGTGCATCTCAGCCTCCGGGAAGTCAGGCCTCAAAGCAGGAGTCGATGTAACAACCAGCGATGATCCTGCCAGCATGGGAAATCAGAGGAGCCTCTGCTCTCACCGGATGTGCCCTGGGATGGAGCAAGGTAGGCCTCACAGAGGGGACAGTGGTGTTCATTCTCAGTCTTTTGATTGGAAACCAAAGTTGCAGATAAGGTTAGAGAAGCAAATTAACTCCCAAGCCTCTCAAATACTCAGCCAGAGAGGTTCCCTGGTGGCTTTACAATTTGAAACAATCCATTTATCCCTCAGCAATTATGGTTCTAAATTTTCAGTATGCACAGGGAGCACCTGATTTGCTGCTTTCCCAAGATATTTTGACTCCTTAACCCACGAATTTGCATTTCTAACACATTCCCAGGTGATGCAGCTGGAGGTTAGGAGTGAGGAAACATACTCTTTAGCATTTATTCAAGAACAATGCTTTTGGAACTTTAATGTATACAAGAATCACCCTGGGAATCTGGTTAAAATTCCAATTCAGAAAGTCTGGGGTGGAGCCAGAGATCATGCATTTTTACCAAGTTCCCAGATGTTGTCTGTATGGCTGGGTCACAGACCACACTTTGTGTTGTAAGTCTCCTTGAAGAGCATTAGCAGTGCTTCTCAGCTGTGGCTGTACACTAGAAACATATGCAGGGACTTGGAGAAATCCTCATGCACAGGCCACACTTGACCAATTAAATCAGATTTCTGAGAGTGGGGTCCTGGCAACAAACAGTAGTTATAGCTCCCCTGGTGAATGCAATATGCTGCCAAGATGTAAGACTATTGTTTTGAACAGTGGTTCCAGCCCTAATACATATTTTAAATGTATGGGATGCTTGTGCAAAATAACTGTTCCTGAGTCATCTTCCTAATACCCTCCTAACTGGTCTTTCCAATTTTTATCCATACAAACAACATCACCAAACACACACAAACTTTTTTAGTCTTCAAGAGCTTGTTTGCCTTTAGGATTAAACAAACAACTAAAAATTTGTGGATTTGGGGCCCAGAGCCTTAGTATTTTAAAAAGTATCATTAGGGCCTAGTGTGATGGCTCATTGGCTAAATCCTTACCTTGTAAGCACCAGGATCCCATGTGAGTGCTGGCTCGGGTCCCAGCTGACCCAGTTCCCATCCGGCTTCATGCTTGTGGCCTGGGGAGGCAGTGGAGTTCCAGAGAGGACTCCTGGCTTCGGATGGATTCAGCTCCAGCCATCACAGCCTTTTGGGTTGTGAACCAGCGGATGAAGGGTTTTTCTCTTCACAAATCTGGAAGGTCTTTTTATAAATCTGATCTGCCTTTCTGACAAAAAAAACCCAGAACTTTAAAAAAAAAGATTTATTTATTTTTTATGGAAAAGTCATATTTTCAGAGAGAAGGAGATACAGAAAGATCTGTCAGCTAATTTATTCCCCAAGTGGCTGCAATGGTCGATGCTAAACCGACCTGAAGCCCGGAGCATCTTTCTGGTCTCCATGTAGATGCAGGGTCCCAAGACTTTGGGCTATCCCAAGGGGAGGACTTTAGCCACTAGGCTACCACACAGGGCCCCATAAATAAAACTTTTAAAGTAAAAAAGTATCACTAAACAAGGGAGGGAAGGCAGAAACATTTCTCTCCCTTACCTTCTTCCACTGACCTTCTCCATCCCAACCAGTTACCTATGAAGGTCTGTAATTCCCTCCCCTTCGTAATGAATGTTAAAAATGAAATTTTTTAAAGTATTCCTTAAAAAAAAGCAATTTAGCTCTCCTGACAGAATTGAGAACCACTGCTTTTTGTTGGCCTCTTTTTCTTGTTCTACCTACTCTTTAAATTTATCCACTGGATGGAGTCTGCTGAGCCCAGGCATGTGAAAACCTGGCTCAGATGGCTGCTTTTGTGTCTTGTATTAATACTTAGCTCCCTCTGATTCCACACCCAGGCCAATATCTCTACTTTTGTCACTGTCATTTGACCTCCTACATTGGTCCTCTGCTCCTCAGCACTGCCTTGGGCTCCATCGTTCGTCCTAAGTGTTGGTTCTTTTCTCTGCGTTCTGATCCTGTCTCACCTTCTTCGATACCCTGACTTGACTTTTTGATCTGCACACTCCTTGTCCAAGCCTCAGCTTCTCCTCCAGTTCCTGTTACTGGCTACCTGGCTGCCCGCTTAGCCTCCCCTCTTCTAGGTCAAATATGTCAACTTTCTAAAATGCCGTCCTTGTCCAGTGGTTTGTCTTAGGTATTTGATTGTAGTAGTGAAACATTGAGCAACACAGACAATTGGCACTGTGAGATAGAATCATTTCTATAAGTGAAAATGTGGAGGCAGCCTTAGAATTGGCTACCTGGAATATGGAAGAGATGGAAGATCCGGATAGGAAAAGTCTAGAATGTTGTAAGCAGAACATAATGGGTAATTCTGGTGAAGGTTCAGAGCATAAAAAAGAAAACTAAAAGCTGCATCTTAGAAATTAGCTAAACAGTCAAGACCAAAATCCTGATAGGAACATGGACAGTAAAGGCTATGTTGATGATATATAAAGATGGAGAATTTTATTAGGAATTGCACTGAAAGTCTTTCTTGTTATGCTGTGGCAAAGAACCTTGCTATACAGTGTTCTATCCCTAGACATTAGAGAAGGCCGAGCTTACAGATAGTGCAAAAGTTTGGTAGAGGAGATTTCAAAATAGAAAAGTATTCAGGCTGTAGTGTAAGTGTTACTGGCTGCTGTTAAGATGTTTAATGGTGCGAATGAGGAGCAGAAGCAAAAATATATAAATAAATGGATAAATAAAATGATTTGAGAATTTGTAACCTGTTCACAGAAAAAGCAAAGAAAAAAAAAAAACATGTTATAGGTGGATGCGCAAAAGGAAACTTTGCTAATCAGCAGAGTAATTGGGAGAGGCACCCTGAAGGCATTTTAGAGATTTCTGAGACCATCTTTCCCATCATAGTCCCATCAGAGGCCTATAAATACAGTTGTGTTCCCAAGATCTCCCAAGGCAGAGATGGAGACCCCATGATGCTCTGCTCATTCAGAGCCACTCTGGATTCTGACTTGCTGGTGAAGCATTCTAGGGCTGCAGCTGTGGGTCAGATGAGGCCAGGTGCAGGTCCTGCTGACAGTAGACCATGGCGTTGGTGTCCATGCAGTGCTGGTTTGGGAGGTCTGCAGAAGGCTAGAGTTACAAAGTTGTAGCAGCTTCTGCCAAGGGTTCCAAGGAGGGTCTGTGAAACAAGCAGAGTTAAGATGCAGGGTTGGAACCCTTTGCATGGGACACCTGGGGGTAATATATGTTAAAGTGGTGGAATTAAAGCCACAGCGAGGACCCCAGAAAGATAGAGATATGAAGCAATGTGAGACACCCACCAAGGAATGCTGCAAGCACCGTGCCAGGCAAGTCTGGGAAAGCCAGTGATGTATGCATGTAACACTGGCCAGCAGAACCATGGAAGCCTTCATCTAGTATTTGGACAACCTGAGGGGGTGGTAGAGACCTTTTATAGGGATGGAGCAATTGCAGAGAGCCTTGCACCAGGACAGTGCTGAGCAGAAAGGTATGGTCAGAGTTGCTGCAGAGCATTCCCATGGGGCAATGCCTGGTGAAGCTGAAGATGAATCTCTAACCTATGGGAAATGGAGCATGGGATATGATCAGAAAAGCTCCAGGGGTAGGACTGCCCCATCTTTGTGTGTCCAGGATGCTGTACATGGAGCTTTAAGGCTTAATATTTGCCTTGCTGATTTTTTTTTTGGTTGTTTATTTGGTTTATTCCTGTCAGGATATAAACATGTACCCTGTGCCTGTCTTGCCATTGCATCTTCAAAGTATGTAACTTGCTTTGGATTTTACAGGGGCCTCCTACAGCCAAGGGAGCTTACCTTGAGTCTCAGACAAGACTTTGGACTTTTGAGATAATGTTGGTCTGACTTAAGACTTTGAAACTATTGGGAGTAGATTGATTGTATGTAATGGGTGAGAAGGACCTGAGTTTCAGGAAGCCAGTGGCATATCCTATGGTTTGAGTGGGATATAGCTGCTCAACTCATACACACAATAAACCCCACAATTGTGGATTGATGATATGAGTAGGCTGGAGGCTTGATCTCACTGTGATGTCTTGAAAGTGGGGCTAGTGAGAGCCTCAGTCATTGATTGACGATGTACTCTTGGAAGACAGCTTTTGCAGGGAGAATTGGTCATGTAAACCTGGAACAAGTCCTGTTGTTCTTTCTCTGTTTCCTGGCTCGCTATGCGATTGTTCCTCCATGTCTGGTGCCATTGCCATCCTCTGGCCTCACTAGATACCAAACTAACACAGCTTGCTCAGTCTTGAACTGTGAACTTCCACAAGTGAATGTCTTTCCTTCCTAAATAGCTTGTCTATTTTGTTGTAGTAAGAGAAAAGTGACTAATATAGTGTCATAGAAGCCAAAATATACACCATCATTGCCCTTGAAGTACTGCATATTCTGGTATGGAAACTAGAAAGTGATCAATGTAAAAGCACAACAGTGTGATGTGCTGGTTGAAAGAGGAGTGTGGCATTATGGTATCTATCAGATGGAAGCCTTGCCTGAGAAATGATATTTAAGCTCTAAGACAGCAGTGGGAGCTGCTAAGTGAAAGGGGGAAGAGATAGGAAGGAGGAGGAGATGGCATTTACAAAGGCTGTGATGTGAGAGGGAACACGTCATGGAAGTGGTATGGAGGTAAACAAAGGCCTGAGTGGCTGTAAGAGAGGCAGAATACACTAAAAATTCTGTAACTCACATTGTACTTACTCCGTAACCAATTTAGGAGTCAGTAGCCATCCCAACTGAATGGCAGTCACTTGGTAACCATCTCAGATGAGCCATACTCAGATGAGCCATCTGAGTGGGCTGGATGCCCTGGTTATGTGTGCAGCAACTAGAATTTTTCTTTTCCCTCTTCCCACTCATTTGCCTGGAGCTTCTCCTTTTTGCCTAGGGAACAGAGCCAATCTATTAAATGAGGAAGATGAGTACTGCAGTTATGTTAGCTGGCTAGGGACATTAAAAAGATGCAGTTTCTTGGCAATGAAGAGAATATTAAAAGTATTGTATTTTAAATTCAAAGTATGTAT